TCCGCGCTGCTCCAGCTGAGGATTAATAAACCGCGTTGATTCGGGCTTTAATTAACAGTGATGGCAGTCGTGCCTCAGTTTCCCCGGTGCCAGCGCTGTGTGGAGCGCTGCCGCAGCCCCGTCCTGGCTGTCACCCGTGTCCCTGTACCGTGCCGTGCCGTGCCGTGCCCACGGGACGGACACACCGGGGCGGGAGCTCGTGGCACCGGGAGAACCGGGGGTGGGGGACGGGACTGACACCGCGGATTTATCGCTCTCGTTAGGCGGGCGAGCATCTGGCCGCAATCAGCGCCGGCTCAACGTCAGCCGCCCCGGTGTCCCGGTGTCCCGGGCGGCGCGGGGGCCGCATCCTGCCCGGTGTGGGGGGTTATCGGCGGCCACCGGCGCTGCCTCCCCCCGCGCCGGTGATGACGCCAAGCGCTGACGCCGATCCGCCCCCTCAGCCGCCCGCGGGCTTGGCCGGCCGTGACGTCTGCCGCCGCCACCGCCGTTAACTCCTTCCCCGGTGCCGCCCGGTGTGACCGTGCCGGGACGGTGTAACCCCCGCCCCGGTGAGCCGCGGCTGGCCGTAGGAGCGGCTGTTCCCCGGGGAAACCCCGGTGCCACCGTGACAAACGGCGCGGCGGTGGCACGGCACGGAGGACACGCGGTGGCACGGGGGACACGCGGTGGCACGGGGGACACGCGGGACCGGCGGCTGTGTCCACTGCCCTGTCCCGGTGTGACCCTCACCGGTGGTGGCCCGGCTGTCCCCAGGGGTTCCCGTGCGGCCCCGTGCCGGTGCCTGGCCCCGTGCGTTTATTTATTTATTTATTTATTTATTTATTTCTGTGTCGTGCCCTTTGTACAGCCGGGGCCCAGCTCGGTGCCAGTGCCCGGTGGCCGGTTCCCGTGCCCGCTCCCAGTCCCGATTCTCAGTAGCCAATTTCCATGCCCGGTTCCCATTCCCATTCCCGGTGCCTGGTTCCCGGTGCCCAGTTCCCAGGTGCCCTGTGCTGTTCCCGCGCCCGGCTCCCGGTGTCCCATGCCCGGTGTCCCGTGCCCTGTGCCCAGTCCCCGTGCCCGGTTCCCGGTGTCCCGTGCCCTGTGCCTGGTCCCCGTGCCCGGTTCCCGGTCCCCGGTGTCCCATGCCCAGTTCCTGGTGCCCTGTGTCCCGTGCCCGGTTCCCGTGTCCCGAGCCCGGTTCCCGGTGTCCCATACCCGGTTCCCGTGTCCCATACCCGGTGTCCCGTGCCCGGTTCCCGTGCCCGGTTCCCGGTGTCCCATGCCCAGTTCCCATGTCCGGTTCCCGGTGTCCCGTGCCCGGTTCCCATGCCCGGTTCCCGTGTCCCGTTCCCGTGCCCCGTTCCCATGCCCGGTTCCCGGTGTCCCGTGCCCAGTTCCCGTCCCCGTGCCCGGTGTCCCGTGTCCCGTTCCCGTGCCCCGTTCCCATGCCCTGTTCCCGTGTCCCGTGCCCGGTGTCCCGTGCCCAGTTCCCGTCCCCTGTTCCCGTGTCCCGTGCCCGGTGTCCCATGCCCGGTTCCCGGTTCCCGGTTCCCGCCCCTCCCTTTGTGCCCATCAGCCCCGGCGGGGCGCGCGCCGCGGGGGCCACGTGCCCGCCCCTCCCCCGCGCTGACGTCATCCCAGGGCCCCGCGCGCTGTTGTCCCGTTTACCGCCGGTCGCCGCGGCGACGGCCGAGGGGGCGTGGCCGGGAACGGGGCGTGGCCTCCCCGCCCCGCGGAGGCGGTGCCACGCCCCGTATGCAAACGAGGGCGGGCGAGGACGTCATCTGCAGCCAATGGGGGCTCGGCGCGGTGAGGTCACCGCGGCGGGGCCGCCTATTTAAGGCGGCGCGGGGCGCGCGGCGGCGGCAGAGCCGTGTGCGCGCGCGCAGCAGCGGGGCCGCGGCCGGTGCGCACCGGGCGCCTCCCCCGCCCCCCCCTCCCGCCCCGCGCTCGCCCCGGTCCTTCCCCCCCCGCCCCGGCGCCGTTTCCCCCGCAGCCGGGCGGGGGAGGAGGATGGAAACACCCTTCTACCATGATGATGTGTTGAGCGGCCTCGGCAGCGGCTTCGCCCCGTCCTCCGGCAGCAGCGGGCTCCTCCTGCCTTTCCCCGGCGGCAGCATGATGAAGAAGGACGCGCTCGGGATGGCCTTACCGGAACAGGTGGCGGCGGCGCTGAAAGCCCCCGGCGCGGCCAGCGGCGAGGCGGCGGGGCTGCTGGGCTCGGCCGAGCTGGGGCTGCTGAAGCTGGCGTCGCCGGAGCTGGAGCGGCTCATCATCCAGTCCAACGGGCTGGTCACCACCACCCCGACCAGCGGCCAGTTCCTCTACCCGAAAGCGGCCGCCTCCGAGGAGCAGGAGTTCGCCGAGGGTTTCGTCAAGGCGCTGGAGGACTTGCACAAGCAGAACCAGCTGGGCGGCGGCGCGGCGGGGAGCGGCGGCGGCGCGGGCGGCGGCGGCGGGGGAGGAAGCGGCGGCGCGGGCGAGCTGCCCGCCGCCGGGATGGCCCCGGAGCCGCCGGTGTACGCCAACCTCAGCACCTACCCGGCCGTCAGCTACGCCGCCGATCCCGGCCCGTTCGCCGCGCCGCCGCCGCGGCTGCCTCCGCCGCCGCCCCCGCCGCCGCTGAAGGACGAGCCGCAGATCGTGCCGGAGGTGCCGAGCTTCGGGGAGAGCCCCCCGCTGTCCCCCATCGACATGGACACGCAGGAGCGCATCAAGGCGGAACGGAAGCGGCTGAGGAACCGCATCGCCGCCTCCAAGTGCCGCAAGAGGAAGCTGGAGCGGATCTCCCGGCTGGAGGAGAAGGTGAAGAGCCTCAAGAGCCAGAACACGGAGCTCGCCTCCACCGCCAGCCTGCTCCGCGAGCAGGTCGCCCAGCTCAAGCAGAAGGTGCTGAGCCACGTCAACAGCGGCTGCCAGCTCCTGCCCCAGCACCAGCACCAGGTGCCGGCGTACTGACCCCGGGCGGGCCCGAGCCCGGGCACGGACCGAGGGGTCCCGGGCAAGGAGCCGGGGGAGCGCCCGCCCTGCCCCGGGCGTGGACCGAGGGGAACGGGGGGGAGCGCTCACCTCGCCCCGGGAACGGACCGAGGGGTCCCGGGCACGGACTGAGCGGAGCGGGGGAGAAGCGCCCGCCCTGCCCCGGGCATGGACCGAGGGTCCCGGGCACGGAGCGGGGGAAGCGCCCGCCTTGCCCCGGGCATGGACCGAGGGTCCCGGACTGCGGGGTCCCGAGGGGAGGAAGAAGAGCGATGATCGCCCCCCTCCTCCATCTCCCCGGACACGGACTGAGGGGTCTGAGGGGAGGACCGGCACCGGACCGCGGGCACCGAGCGCTCCCCGCGGACGGAGCGGCGGCGGGTGGGGGGGGTTCCCCGCCGCGCACGGACTGAGAGGGGCCCGGGCCGCCCCCCCCGGGCCCCTCCGCGCCCCACACATTCCAGTGAGGTCCCAGTAAAACCCCGCGACACGGAGAATTGGCCTCTCGCTGTTTGCTGCGCCCGGGAGGGACGGGAAGGGAAGGGGCGGCGCGGGCAGGAAGCGGCGCGGCCGGGTGCCATTTTGGGGTGGGGGGGGGAACGGCGACCGGGGGGGTTTGGGGAGTTTTGGGGGGCGATGGGGAGGGGGGGTGAGGACCCTCCATGGCTGGCAAAGAGGCTCTGGGAGTCCCTGGAGAGGGTGGAGGGCGAGGGGGTCCACGGGGTTGTGGTTAGTGGGGAGGGGGATGTTGTGGGGAGGGGGCGGTGAAAGGTTGGGGTGTCGCGGGGGCTGTGGGGTTATTTGGGCTCTCTTGGGGGGGGGGGAATATGGGCATATTTGGGCTCCCCTGGGGCTGAGGGGGTCCCCATGGGTGAGGAGGTGGGCGAGGGGACCCCAGGGCTGGTCCTGGCTGTGGCTCTGCCCTGCCAGACCCTCTCCGTTTTTTTTTTGGGGGGGGAGGTCACCACCACCCCCCCTGTCCTGGCCCCCAGGGTCACCCCCATGCACCCAGCGAGGCCGGGCCTCCGCTGCTCCTCCCGGACTTGGGCAACAGCCTCGGGCTTCCCGGCACCGCACCGGCTCCTCCTTGGTGTGACCCACCCTGTGTCCCGGGGGACCGACCCTGTGTCCCCGGGGGCGTTTGGGGACGCTGCTGGCCGCAGCTCCAGCCCGTTCCAGCAGCAGGATCGCCGAGCTGGCGGCGAGCCGGCCGTGCGAGAGCGTGGGGAGCCCGGGCGCCCTGCCCGGCGTGGCTCCCCGGGGACCCCACGCTCGGTGCCGTGCCGTGCCGTGCCGTGGGTGGCTCCCCGGGGACCCCACGCTCGGCTCCGCGCCGTGCCGTGGGTGGCTCCCCGGGGACCCCACGCTCGGCTCCGTGCTGTGGGTGGCTCCCCGGGGACCCCACGCTCGGTGCCGTGCTGTGGGTGGCTCCTTGGGGACCCCACGCTCCGTGCCGTGCCGTGGGTGCCTCCCCGGGGACCCCACGCTCCGTGCCGTGGGTGGCTCCCCGGGGACCCCACGCTCGGTGCCGTGCCGTGGGTGCCTCCCCGGGCTCGCCGTGCCAACCGGCTGCGGTTTGCCGGAGGAAGCGCCGTCCCCGCCGCGCGGAAGCGGCGCCGTCCCGGCGCGGTTGAGCTGCGCCCCGGATGTGCCGCTCGGGGAGGACGGAGACGGGGCAGGCACCTGTCCGTCCCCGTGGCCTCAGTGTCCCCGAGTCCCCGCACGCTCGTGTCCCCAGGTCCCATTGTCCCTGCATCTTGGTGGCCCCAGGCTCCTTTGTCCCCACATCCCCAGGGTCCCGGTGTCTCCGCTTTCCCCGGTCCCTTTGTCCCAAGCCCCCACGTTCCCCGATCCCTTTGTCCGCACTTCCCGGTGTCCCCACGTGTCCGCGGAGATCGCGGCAGGACCGGCTCCCGGTACCGGGGCTCTCCCGGTCCCGTGGTGGGAGGTGGGCGGGGAGAACAGGGCCGGGGTTGGGGGGCGTCCCCCCGGTGCCCGCGGGGTCCCGGCGCTGCGGTGCCGCCCGGTACCGACAGGGGGCGCCCCGCCTCCCCCGGGGCGGATAAAGGCGGCGGCACCGGCACCGGCACCGGGCGGGATGGCCCGGGGCGCGCTCCGCCTGCTCTGCTGCGCCGCTGCCCTGCTCGCTGCCGCAGGTACCGGGCACCGGGGGGGTCCACGGGGTCCCGGGGGGCTGGGTGCTTCCCGGTACCAGCGGTGGGTGTGTCTGTGGCCTCTCCCTGCCCAGCTCCACGTACCGGGAGAAGCGTCCGGGGCACCGGGGAAGCTCGCGGAGGTGAGCACGTGTTGCCTCGCCGTCTGCACTGGCGGCCCGGTGGGGCACTGGGGGGGTCCCGTGTCCCTCCCGGGGCTGGGGTCACCGGGGGGCTGCACCAGCTCCCCGGGCGTGCCGGACCGGAGCACGGTGCGGCGCCGGGGCTGCCAAACCGGCTGGTCCTGGCACGGGTACCCTGGCACCTCATCAGCACTCCCGGGGCAAAGGTTTTTCCCGGTATCCCGCGCCTCTGTGGGCCCCCCGTTTCCAGCCTGGGCCCCCCGCACCCTCCCTGCACCCATCCTGGCACACTGGGTGCTGGGTGCCACGCCATCCTGGCAAAGGTGCCAGCTGGGTGGGGACAGCCCATCCCGGTGGGCCTGGCACCACGCTGTGCCCCTGGGTGCTGCCCGGTGTCCCCCTGGGGCCAGCCTGGACTTGCTCCTCCTCTTGTGCAAACAGGATTTGGGCAGATAAGGGGCACTGCCAGGCAAACCTGCTCCGTCCCCACCACGCCCGGCCCTGAGGGTGCCACAAGGGCTGGGTCGGCGCGTGTCCCCGTGCCTTGGCACTGCCCGCTGCTGCCAGGCTGCTCTGCTTGTGCCCAGCGGTGCTGCGCCCGTGCCGCAACAGCTCGGGAAAGCTCTTTGTGATTCTGGATTTCTGGGATTTGGTACTGGCTAAATCCCGGGTTTCTGTGTGATAAAAACCACCTGGGAAATGATCCCTGGGAGGTGGGGCAGGTGCTGCTGCCCTGCCAGGACCTTGCCAGGGTCCTGCCAGGGTCCTGCCGTGTGATTGCTCAGCAGCTCTCTCCTCCGCGGTGTGGGGCCAGGACCTGCCACCAGAGTGTCTCGGGACAGCTCAGGGACAGCCGTGTCACCGTCTCCATCCCGTTCAGCCAGAGCCACCAGCCAGGGGACTCAGGGTGTGAGTCTGTCTGGCTGTGACCTGGGAGCACTCAATGCATCTCTATCCACAGCAACAACTCCATCCAGTACCTCAGGATCAGCAACACCTCCATCATCTCCATCCAGCACCACCACCACCACAACAACTCCATCCAGTACCTCAGGATCAGCAACACCTCCATCATCTCCATCCAGCACCACCACAACAACTTCATCCAGTACCTCGAGATCAACAACATCTCCATCATCTCCATCCAGCATCACCACAGCTCCATCCAATACCTCGGGATCAACATCTTTATCCAGCACCACCACCACAGCTCCATCCAATACCTCGAGATCAACACCACCTCCATCATCTCCATCCAACACCACCACAGCTCCATCTTCAGCCAGGACACCTTTGCCACCCTCATCCAATGCCACCACCACGGCACCGACTCCATCCCCCACGAGCGTGTCCAGATCCACAGAGCATCCACCCAACTCCACCACACCGCCAGCCCCATCCTCGGCCAGGCCCTCTGGGCCTGCTTCTCCCACCGTGACCCCCAGAGCCACAGCAGCCCCTGGCAGCTCCGGTGAGAGCCGGGCTGGGGGGCACCGGGCAGATGGGGGACCTGGGGATGGGCACGGGTCCCCCTGGAACCCCCACTTGGGGCTGCACTCACAGGTGGGCTCAGGGGTGCAGGTCCCAGGGTGAGCCCAGAGCCCCCCGGCTGCTCCCCTCTCCTTGGGGGGGTTGTTGAGGGCTCCCCTTTCCCCCCTGGTCTCTGCCAGGGGTCACAGAGTGCCACAGGAGCTGGGTGCCAGTCTGTGATGGAGGGGTGGCACTCGGGGGGCTGGAGCGGGTCTCGAGCCACCTCTTTCTCCGGGGTGCTTGGAGGCTGGGCATGAGCTTCAGTGGGGGGATAACGGGGTGCTGGGGGGAATAACGGGGTGGTGGGAGGGATAACGGGGTGCTGGGGGGATAACGGGGTGCCAAGGGGGATAATGGGGTGCCAGGAGCAATAATGGGGTGTCAGGGGGGGTAACAGGGTGCCAGGGGCGATAGGGTGCTGGGTGGGATAACGGGGTGCTGGGGGCAATAATGGGTTGCCGAGGGGGATAACGGGGTGCTGAGGGGGATAACAGGGTGGTGGGAGGGATAACATGGTGCCGAGGAGAATAATGGGGTGCCAGGAGCAATAACGGGGTGCTGAGGGGGTAACAGGGTGCCAGGGGTGATGGGGTGCCCGGGGGGGATAACGGGGTGCCGGGGGGGATAACAGGGTGCTGAGAGGAATAACGGGGTGCCGGGGTGATAACGGGGTGCCGGGGTGATAACGGGGTGCCAAGGGGAATAACGGGGTACCGGGGGGGATAATGGGGTGCTGGGGGGATAACGGGGTTCCGGGGTGATAACGGGGTGCCAAGGGGAATAACGGGGTGCCGGGGGATAACGGGGTGCCCTTCTCGCCCCACAGATCGGCCCCCCACGGAGCTGAGCCCCGCTGCGGTGGCGCTGATCTCGCTGGCCGTGTGCCTGCTGGTGGCGGGGGTGGCCGTGCTGCTGGTGCGGCGCTCCCGGCGCGGGACCCCCCCCTTCCAGCACCTGGATGAGGTGCCCATGGTGCGTGGGGGGGGGACCGGGGGGTGCCGAGGGGGGATTTGTGGGGGGCAGCAGGTCCAGGATGCAGGCGCTCACCCCGCTCCCTTTCTCTTCTTCCCCAGAGCAAAGTGATGGAGGGGTCCCCCGTCACCCCCCCGACCCCCAGCTGATCCCCCCGCCGGGCTCCCCACGCTGCCGAATAAAGAAGCCGCTGCCCTGCCTCCGGTTTCCCGTCTGCCATGTGCTCTGCAGCCTGCCCGGGGAAAACCCCCGCTCCCGGGGGAGGCCCCGGCCGCTTTCGGGGTGCCCCGGCCCGGCCCGGCGGCCCCGGGGTGCTCCCGGGCCGGCGGGGGAGGCGCCGGTCGGGGGCGGCGGGGCCGCGCAGCCCCCGCGGCGAGGTGCGATGGGAGGGAGCGAGCGGCCAGGCACGCACGTCGCCTTCCTTCTGCTCCGCTGCACTCGGCCGGGGCCGCGCCAGCCGCGAGGACCGGGCACCGGTGAGGGGCTGCGGGCGGGCCCGGGGGGCTGCCGGCGGCGGGGACCCCCGTGCCGGGCCCCGGTACTTCCTGGGATTGGGATGAGGCCGCTGCCGGTGCTGGCAAATCCCGGGGAGCTCGGTGCTGGCGGCTCCGCGGGTGCGCCCCGGTGCGCCCCGGTTCCCGGTGGCCGGGGTGGATCGTTAACGCGGCACCGGTGCGTTCGCGACTTGGCGGGTGCTGCCGTGGCCTCGGAGCCGTGTCCCTATCCCCACCCAGCCCACGGGAGCACCGGGAGTGGGGCGGGGGGGCCCCGGAACCCGAGGTGAAGGGGCTGAGCCCGGCCGAGAGCCGGTGGCCGTAAATCACGGTGGGGAGGAGCCCGCGTGTCCCGTACCGGGGTGTCCCCGGGGTGTCCCCAGCCGCGGGAGGGGGGTCCCTGCCCGGCCGCGGCTCCCGGAGCTCCCCCCGCAGGGACGGCGATGAGACGGAGCCGGACAGCGCTGCCCTTCCTCGGCGCGGAGGTAAGGCCGGTACCGGGAGCCACCGGGAGGCACCGGGAGGGCGAGGGGTGTCCCGAGGGGCGAGGGGGTGTCCCCGGTATGAGCGTCCCAGCGCCGGGCCCCCGGGCAGCAATAACCGGGCTGGCGGCGCTGAGCGGGAGTTAATTATCCCCTTAATGGGCGGTTAATTATTATTCACCTCTCTGCGTAATTGCGCGCCGGCTCCGGGGGTTTTTCCGGCGGGGTCCCGGGGGAAGTCAGGGGGGTCCTCTCCGGTGGCGGCGGGAGGAGGAGGCGGAGGAGGACGGGGGTGCTCCCGGTGCTCGGTGCGCTGCGGGCGGAGCCGCTCCCGGTGCAGCGGCCGTGCCTTTCCCCGTGCCTTCCCCCGTGCCCCCCGCGCCCCGGTAGCGCCCCGGTACCGCGGCTGCAGCGCCGCACCGTGTCCGGCAGGGGGCGCCGGCGCGCTACCGGCGCTCGGTACCGGCGGGGCGGGCCGGGGGCGCTGCCCGGGCGGGACCCTCGGGCCGGGATCCGCAGGGAGCCCCCGGCGCCGCTCCCCGCGCCCCTCACCGCCGCTCCGCTTCCCGGCAGCGCTGCCGCGACCCCGCCGAGGCCGCCCCGTCGTGCCCGGGCCCGGCAGCGGCGGTGGGCGCCGTGCGCCGCCGTTTCTCCGGGACCCCGCTGCTGCCGCCGCTGGGCTGCCGGTTGGCGGAGGCGGCCCGCGGCCCCGAGCCCCCCGAGGCCGCCCGGGTGGTGTTCACCATCGAGGAGAGCGGCCCGAGCAGCGGCGATGAGTCCGAGCCCCCCCGGTAAGGGCGGGACGGGGAGCGGGGAGGTGATGCCCCGGTGGCACCGGGAACGGGTTCCCGGGCAGAGCACGGCTGGCGGGGACGCTCCAGGCTTCAGCACCGGCGGCCGGACAGCGGCACCGGGGCAGAGCAGCCGGTGGGTTGGGGACAAACTCATCTGTCACCGACCCCGCTGTGCCAGCCCCGGGATGTTCATTGTGATCACCGTCTGTCCCTGTCACCCCCCAACTCTCCGGTCCCCCACTGTCCCCATAACGCCGTCCCTGTCACCCCCACCCCTGTCCTCTCCCTCCTCACCCCTCCTTGTCCCCGTCCCGTGGCCCAGCCAGAGCCACCACAGGGCTGGCCCGGCCCTGCCGGAGGTGACCTCGGTCCCTCCCGCGGTGGCTCGGGCCCAGCTGTGATGCTGCAGGGCTATTTTTGGGCCATTCCCCCTGTCCCGTGCCTCTCCCAGCCCGGCTTGTGGGGACAGCAAGGAGCTGGCACAGCCGAGGGACATGGCTCTGGTGTCACTTGTCCTCCAGGCCTCACAGACACGTGGGGACAGTGACACTCCGATAAGGACTGGCTGTCCTGAGCCCAGCCCTCGCTGCCAGCCAGCGCAGGGGGCTCTTCCCCCTGTGCCACGTCCCCTGCTGTCCCTGTGTCCCACCATCCCTCCACCCTGATGTCCCCACGGTCACGCTTGCAGTCCCTTGAAAGCCAAGGTGACCCTTCCAGGACCCCCTTTGGTGGGTTTTGGGGTCCCTGATGGGGCTGTCGTGGCATGGGGGGGGGCTCTGTTGCTGTCCCTCCTGCTGGATATTTTTGTGGCCCTCAGGAACAGCAGGGAGCCACATCCCGCTGCATCAGGCTGGGCAGGTGCCAGCTCCCACGGCCACCCCACAGTGTCACTGTCACTGATCCTGCTGCTCCCTGCTCTGCTCCGGAGTGAATCCAGGAGGGGACAGCACCAGGGACGGGCTGGGGCTCGGTGTGGGGCGGGTTTGGCTCTCCCAGGTCCCTCGGTGGCAGCATGGCATGTCCACA